ATAAACTTTAAAATAAAAACCTGAAAAAAACAGTTTTGAATGTATTTTTGTTATTTTTATTTTTCCGCCACAAAAATTAAATAAAATCAAACTTTCATAATTATTTGCAAATCTACATGAGTAAGGCTTTCCAATGACTCATTAATTAACAAAATCGGTCCGGTAGAAGTCTAGATTTAGTTGTACAAAGTTTAACAAAAATATCCCAAACTCAATATTTTCTCATTATTATAAATTCGGAGGTTGCTTAGCTTTTTTGCAAATAACTTTTAAATGGTGAGGAAATCGACCAAAGTGGAAGGTGATATTCTGAAAGAGAATAAAATTTCCTACAAATTGATACCATACACTTCTTGGAAACACTAAAAAAGGCAGCTAAAAGTCGCACCCAAATAAAAAGTGTGAAAAACACCGTTTTCAATGTATTTCTTATGGAAAACATGTTTTTTTGAAATTTTTCACCATAAATCATAATAAAAAAAAACTTTCATAATTATTTGCAAATCTACACGACCTAAGCTTTCCAACGACCCATTAATTAATAAAATCGGTACAGTAGAACTCTAGATTTAGTTGTACAAAGATTTTTAAAACTGAATTATATATAGAATAGATAAAATATTTTTTCTTAATTCGAAGTGAGGGGCTCTCGCGGCTCGCACAATGCCTGACTCCTTCACAGAAGGGGTTCACATCGACTTCTGAACAGGCGCTTTAGACACGCTAGTCTCGGCGCGCAGTGTCACATTTTGATGTTGCCCCTACTCGGACAGTTGAAAACTCGGACAAATGAAATTTTGATATTTTTTTAAATAATTTAAAAACTCGGACAAATGAAAACTCGGACAGTTGATTTAACGAAATATTATTATTATTTAAACCATACTCGGACAGTTGAAAACTCGGACACTTGATATTTCGATATTTTTTAAAATAATTTAATAAACTCGGACAAATGAAAACTCGGACAGTTGATTTATCTAATTATTATTAGTTATTTATCAAAACTCAGACAGTTGAAAACTCAGACAAATGATTTTTCAAATATTTTGTAATTTTTAACAAACTCGGACAGTTGAAAACTCGGACAAATGAACCTCACCCGTAGCAGCTACTTGGTTTTGCGTTTTGTACACTTGTGGATATTTTTGTTATTTTCTGGGTCATGTGAAGATACTGTCCTGAATTATCTATAATGTGCATGGCCATTTCATCATTTCAAAATCACCCAAATATCTATTGTAACTATTTCATCATATTCATAGTTTTTGTATTGGAAAACGAGTTCTGTATTGAGCATTCCGTATTGAATGTCACCTGATTTATATATATATATATTTTTTTCCTTTGAAAATCCTTAAAATTTTGGTTTTGGTGTAAGAAGGTGGCTTTTTTATTTGGGGGGGGGGGGGTGTAAAGAAAGGGGCAGTATGAAATGGGGAGGGATTTGCGCCCCTGACTTTCCAGGGATGGGCACCTCTGCCCCCACGGCCTCGGAAACATTATCATTGTCTGTGGATCACGAAAACGTTATTGCTGTAGATCGCGGAGAATGCGTGATCCTTGTAGACACGTTTTGTGATAGCTAAAACATTGTGATCGTAAAAGCTCGGCTCGAGGTCTATTTTCTGACTTGGTAAAAGTTTGTTTTTCCCATTATAAGGCTGTCATGGTTTTAAGGCAAAAAGAAATGTCTATTATAATGGGCTGATGTAAAATGCCCCTTTTAGTGGATTTACTTAACACTACAGATATACAAACTAGCCACTCCACCATCATAAACAGATCAGTTCATCTAGAACCGTTTTCATCTGCCAAAGATGGGGTCTCACTACTTGATTACATCATAAAGAGTGATGAAACAATATGGGTTGAAATGTGAACTGTGAGAGAAGATTGCACTTGATGTAAAGACTAATCCCCCATAAGCCCAAAAATGTTTGCAAACTAACTTATATATTGGCAAAAAAAGTTATAAACAATAGTGTATGTTTTTGTGACAGGAAATTTGTGATTCTTGTAGATTTGATGGAAAAAGGCAGAAAAACTAATCATAAAGGTAGAACCCCTCATATCCAACCTTGAGGGGACCAGGCCACGGTCGGAGTGGCCATAATGTCGGATATCGGGAGAAGCATTTCAATTGCGGTCTCCACAACTTCGGTAATCGTCTCCCACGACGGCAGTAACACCCGTTAACAGTCTGCCGCGATTACGGAAACATCCGCGTTCAGCCTTTTGGTTAACCGATCGCGCTCGGCGTTATCGGCCCAGACAGTAAATAAGTAGACGGTCAGGTCAGATACTAGGTCGGATATCCTGAGGAGTCGGATATTCCGAGGTCGGATATGAGGGGTTCTACTGTAGGTTAGTAGGTATTAATGAACATTGCACAACCTTAGAGCTAAAGAAAGAGCGATCCAAAACAAACAAAGAGGAAAGTTGATTCATTACTTGTTGTGGTATTTCCAGAACAATTAATTGACCAATAAAAAATATACAAATAAACAGTTGAGCCCGAAGATTGTGTTACTCACGACAACACACCTGACCCCGTGTGGCAAATTATATAATAGAAATGGTGTATCATTAAATTGGTATGTAGTTGTTTCCTCATCCATCCAATACCAGTGTAACCAATGGTGTAGACACCAAGAGTAACTACCAAAATTATTTCTATTAATGAAGAAATGAAAAAGAAGACAATCTGGACTTGTCAAGCTCATTTATCCCTTTGATAATTGCTTTAATCTTCAATTTAACTTAGTTAAAAAAGTACCGTTTATCAAGTTGAGTGCGGCCAACGATATTTAATATTAATGTAGTGCATCACTGGTTTGCGTGGCAGAATATGTTAAAATACGTAGCACTCCTTCTAGTGTTGATCCAAAAAGATTTTTTTTAAAAAAGGCCCTTTGCTGTTCATGGAAAATTTTTATGACAGCTACACATTGTCCTCAAAACTGTTGTGTAGGTTGTCACATACCACTGGTCAGTTCATGCAGTTGTCTGTGAGGTGAGACTTTGGACAATTACGCCAAGAGCATTATGATCAGGAAGTGGAAAGACAAAAGAACAGTAACCTAAATCTCTACGAAAACGAGATGGTCACTAAACGAAACAGAAGTAGCAAGTAAAGATGATGCCCAAGCCCCTGATGCAATATAATGTGGATATGAAAGGAGTTGATTGTACGGACCAGATGATGTCATATTACCCCTGCGAACGAAAGACACTGAGGTGGCACAAGAAGAAATTTTTCCATTACATGCAGGTGATAATGGTAAGTATGTGCCGGTATCACCTGCATAACATGCACAACCTAGACCAGATAATTAGTGTCTACAACTTCAGGGGAAGGTCCTTGAACATCTGCTGCCCCCCAAACCAATAAACATTTTTATTATTTTTATTATTATTATTATTTATTTTTTAAAAAGATAAAAAATAGGCCTCTTTTAACCTTGCATTTGCCCGTCCACATAGACTAAGCGCCCGTGCGTGGATCGTTTGCAGCAAAGCAAGGAGTGAGCCGGTACAGTACAAAGGTGAACTGTACTGATAAATGTTATTGGCAGTGACCAGGATCCAAACCCACGACGGCCACGACATCGCTATGCCTTGGGCCCAAAGTCTGCGACGGTACCGACTGAGCCACCGACTCACTAAACCAATAAAGGCCACCCATTCAAGGAACAGAAATGCTCCGGCATTCAATGTGATTGTGTTATGTGAGTGTATATGTAGTTTTAAAAACCATCCTAAACTTTTTATTTTCAAAAACATAATCTATTTTCTGAATGGCCGTCCAGCTATTTAAGATCATCCAAAGTTACAAATATGAAATTTAAATGTTTTCAAATGTTTAAAAAGTGGTAAAACATCCTTTTTATGAAATGGTCATTATCCCTGCAACACTCGCGCGGGTGACAGTTGTCACCCAGCGCTTTTGTTTAGGGCACAGCTCAGTCGCCGAATGGGGGAAAGAGGTGTGATCTTCAGTAGCTTTCTGTTATAAACAATAGATCCTCCTATGTGTGTTTTCGCACGTCGAACCGGTTGGTGGCCCGTGTTATATCGCTCAATAGTCGACTGGGTGACAAGTGTCCCCCGCGCGAGTGCAACCGTTATGAGTGTACCGAAGCGCCCGCGATTGTGTGATGACCCATAATTCTGGACATGTTGATGGTAGATAGTTCTGATAAAGATATAATTGAAAATGACAATGAAGAGGGCCAGATAGAGGCAAAAAACCACGTGTTGGACATTGAAGAATATTGTGGACAGACATTGTGGAGTAGACAATACCTCCTGTCATTTATATAGTTCTGCGTACATTTTGTTCTATTATTTATTTTGCTTTTTTATGCTTTTTATTTTTAAATGATATATGTCAGTAGAGGAATAAACGGCACATGTTTCAACACACTTGTAACTATGCATACCTTCAATACCATGTGATTAACAAAGATGCACACTTTCATTTGAAACTGCTATATCTACAGTAATTTCAGTTTTTACAAAATAAAAAACATATTTTGGCAAAGAAATATCTGTGTTTGTGTTCATCATTAAACTACTTTTTGAAATAAAAATTATTTTTACTATGTTACCTTGAAAAAAAATTACAAATGTTAAGGGTAAAAATCCGTAAAATTATTTTTGGTCAAAAAAGAATGATACCGTATTTTAAAATTTAACATTTTTAAGTTATACTGGACAGAAAAAAAACATGAATACTATTCATAAATAATCTCAAATAGTCACTTAATAGGTTTTGAGACATAATATTACTATAAAACAAATATTTTTACATATATATATACAAAAACGAAATGGGGGACAACTGTCACCCGCGCGAGTATCCATGTTATGAGATATGGCGCGAGTAGTGCAGGGTTAATGAAATTGTGTAAGTTTAGTAAAAGAAAGTTGAAATCAAACTTTAGATACAGTGATGACAGCACTAAATGCACGGAGTACTCTTATGTTGAACTTACATTCCTTCTTTTCTTCACTTTGCCAGTCAAACTCCCCATTGTCGATCAGTTCCAAAAATTTGTTCTTTTTCTTAAAGTACATTGCTAAGTCTGTTGATAAAATGGAGTTCTCCACAACCTTCATGACGTATCTATAATCTTGCATCGAAAGGGCCTGCAATGATGAAAAAACATGTACAGTAAAAACAATAACTAAACTATTGTATTGTACATAAACCTCAAATGATTGATTATGTAGGTATACTTAGGGGCTGTAGCTTACAAAATTGAATTATTAATGACAAAGTTTTTTACCACAGTCATTTGGTTAAAATAGTTTTGAAATGGATTGAGTAGCAAGAAATTAATGCCAAATGTCCATAAGGCAAATGTTCCAATAAGACCACTAGTCAATTTCACTCCTTTCCTAGCTTACAAATTAGCCAAAAACCCGAGACAATGGCCGACTATTTACTATAGTGGAAGATTACGGCACCACTGCCCACTCCACTAAAACACCAAAAGTCATCTCAAAGTCTGTGTTTTACAATCAAAGTCACTTGTGGAGGGTTGAACAGATTGTTTCTAAGCTATGTTTGTTGGTTTGATGTAACTTTGTGGGGAAATATACATTACCTGGAAGATATTGTTGTTTTCACTGTTGAGTATCATGACACATTGGTCAAAGTGGTGGTGTTCCATGGTACTGGTGCTGTACAGTATGGCGAGGGGTGACTCAGTCTTGGTCTGGAATGCATTGTTTGTTCCTCGGTGATCCAGATCATGACAGAGGCAGGCTACAAGCAGCCCTAGAATCTGCAATGACAGTCCCAATAAGCTGTCATAACTCATTCTCACTCTCAAAATACACACTCTGATTTGTCAGTGTAGTGGAAATCATATTCAATTTACTAAAATGGTGTAAAGGAGTACAGACTATTCCATTAATCTCTTCTTTATTCTCTAATAAACATTTATATATCAATCCGCGCCACAAACAGGTTTCCAGAGGTCTAACAATACGATTGAGTTTCAATCACTTAAATGTTAAACAGTGTGATAGGAAAAATTGTTAAATGAGACAGTTTAGTCATGAAGAGAGGGAGCGGTAGCAGTTGTTCTCCTGCAGCTGCAGCGGTTTCTAATTTGAGAGCTGTGTAGTTAAAATCGCAGCGGTTGATTGAGAGTGGCGGTTTTCAACTACATTGAATCAAAATGAGAATGTTTAACCTACCTACGCACATGTGCATTGCCTTCTGGATTCGGTCAGAGGTTATCCGTTTACTGTGAGCTCGTGTTTGTTTGATGGAGTGAAGGAGTCACTTCTCATTGCCTTCCCTCAATCTAATATATAAAATTCTCGTGTCACAGTGTTTGTCTGCAAACTCCTCCGGAACGACTTCACCGATCGTTATGAAATTTGGTGTGTAAATTCTGTAGGTATGCGAATCGGACGTAAACTATTTCCCGTTTCGAAATTCTTAAAAGGGCTCCGCCCCAGTGGCTCTGGAGTTTCCCATGTTAACCTTATGAGAAATGGAATTAATGAATCTTAACAGCTGTTTCAATTAAACAAGTTGGTTCTGTTCTATGATGTTCAATAGCATTAAAGTTACAAGGATTACCAACAGGGTGCAGCACTATTATTTCTTTTACATTTATGACAACAGCTAATTTGCAATCAAAAGGTGAGTGAGCGTAGCGAACGAACTTCAACCTGGAGGCGAGTTAGCGTAGCAAACGAGCTAACCTGAAGGCAAGTGAGCGCAGCGAACGAGCTCCAACCTAAAGGTGAGTGAGCGTAGCGAACGAACTTCAACCTGGAGGCGAGTTAGCGTAGCGAACGAGCTAACCTGAAGGCAAGTGAGCGCAGCGAACGAGCTCCAACCTAAAGGTGAGTGAGCGTAGCGAACGAGCTCCAACCCAAAGGTGAGTGAGCGTAGCGAACGAACTTCAACCAGGACGTGATTGAGCGATGCGAACGAGATCATCTTGAAAATTAAACGTAACGGTACTTAAATTACAAATAGTCAAAGGCAAGACAACGTCTGCCGGGTCGGTCTGTCTTAGGGGAAACCTATAACTTAGGCGATACGAAGTTCGCCGGGTCAGCTAGTAACCCATACAATTTCCTGAAGTGTCCCTCACTTACTGGCATTATTTTCCAAAATAAACTTATCACACACTTTTAAAAAAAGTTCTTAAAAATAATAATGAATTTTTTTTTAAAGTGTGTGATAAGTTTATTTTGGAAGATGATTTAGCCGTTTAACAATATTATGAAGTTACTGGCATTGTACTTGGAAGATATATGCACCAGGCTTTAGGCGTCAGCATTGGAATGTAGCTTTGATTTGTTTCTTCATTCATAGATTTAAAATATCACAAAGTTTGTCAACCCCTCACACCTAGACTTCCCTTGCTAACCTTTAGACCTCTGTGACATAACCTTAGACCTTAGACCCTTAGACCTTTAACCTTAGACTCATTGGACATATTGCTTAATCTTATTTATTCATCTTCTTTACTATTTTGGTAGTGGTGTTTTCACTTTGTTTAGTTCATAAATTTTGTTTATAGTGACTTTCAAAACAAATACTGTTAAGTGTATTGAAGTGTACTCAACAAGCCAACTTTGATGTTTTTTATTAGATTTACAAGGGCTATCCAGAAAGTAAGGAACATTTCATTCTGACACCACTATAGGAGCGTGCCAATCTCATACTTTTGGTACATGACCAATTGACAACTAAGTCGGCGTCCAGCCGTGATAACAGAAGAATCCTTGCGCTGCCCGTTTTTTGAAAATTTTTCAACATAACATGTGCGCTGCAATTGAAAATCCCACCAGTTGCGAGGTGGAGTCATTGACACAGTATTTTTTTTTTTTCAAAAACTTAAAACTGACAGACATTTATCGCCAAGTGTGTGAAGTTTAAGGAAACAACGTAATGAATTAAAGTCTGTGGAAAATGGTACAATCAGTCAAAAAATGGCCGAACTGAAGATCATGAGTCATGATGAAGCAAAGAACGGACGCCTGAGCATTGTGACTGATGGAACTGGTCTCTAAAGACCTTTGATTCATGATAACGAAGCTTTTGCTTTGTTGTGTGACAATTTCAAACAAGGTTCGTGAATCTTGAAGAAAACAAAGCGAAAGCTATGGTTCCACAGGATGCGGAATCTCCGCCATGCGGTGCGTAATTTTTCGCAGCGGAAAATTACGCAGCGAAAAATCAGAGGGGTGGTTCTACAGACTGCGAAAATAACGTTGCGGAGATTCAGTTCTGTCCAATCTAGCGACGAGTATGGATAGAAAGAGGAAAGCCCTTTTGACTTTGATGCTATATGATGACATTGATGATGATGTTGCCGATCTTTTATCTTTGTTAGTGTCAAGTCGCAGTGACCGAAGTGACATATTTAAGAATCGGGACAGTGAAGGGGCGTATAACATTCTGGTTCGTTATCATTTAGTTGACAACGAAACTAAGTTTAAGCGGTACTTCCGTGTGTCAAAAGACCAATTTTTCTTTATGGTTGATCTCATCAAAGATGACTTAAGTTACCCACCAACGCTACTAATCGAGACAAACAACCATTGAATGCCGAGATGAAACTAGCGGTAACACTAAGGTATGTACCAATATTTAGTATTTTTGCTATTTATATAACGAAACTTAAGGGGTTTCAATCACGATCAGATCCTGTTCAACACTTGATACCCAAACATCTGCACGGTCACAATATTTGATGGCTCTTCTCCGCTGGCGGAATCCGCACTGCTACTGCTCTCAGACCAGTATGATTTCTCCGCCATGCGGAACGGAAATTTCGGGATGCGGAATCGCAAGTCAGTGGAACCGCACACATGAGAACTCCATTAAACCAGTGTCATTTTAATTCCGCAGCGGAAAAAATCGCACCGCACGGCGGAGATTCCGCATCCTGTGGAACCAGGCCTGAAAGCTCTGGCGGTTTTCCCGAACCCTTTTCATCAACTTCAGCGACCAGTTCCATCAGTCACAATGCTCGGGCATTTATCATTCTTTTTGCCATAAATGACCACACAACTGGTGGGATTTTCAATCGCAGCGCACATCTTAAGTTAAAATTGTCAAAAAACAGGCAGCTCGAGGATGCTCCCTTTGTCAGGGCTGGATGCCGACTGAGTTGCCGAGTGTGCACACACCAAAATGTGAGAGATCGGCGTGCGCCTAGCGGCCCTGTTATCCAACCTACACTCTTATCCAACCAAGACACTGTCAGATAACCAGTTTTGTCAGATAACCAAGAATCTACCGTACGAAAAACTTTCTATAATGAAAAATGTTTCTACTTCAGAGGATTTGCATGGTTTACAATGTCAAACTATAAGTAAATAATGTTATGCACAGAGTACTTCTTAATGCTAACATTTTGTACTTATTTAACACAGAAATATATGCATACAAATAAGCAACTACCTCTAAATCAGTCATGAACCTCTCCATTTTGCCAGTTTTGAGCATTGCGAACATGGTCTGAGCAACATTGAGAGCATGGCGCCAGTTATGGTACTTGACTGGCCGATAGTTCTTCTTGACACTGAGCACCCATCTACACAGCACCTGTATTGATACCAACACAGTCATTATCATTGTTATCAAACTTATAAGAAATTAAATGAAATTTAAACCATATTTGCTTAACACGTTTGCTAAGTCCATTCCGTCACCACAGACTAATGTCAACTATGGTTGACGTAAGGATTTTTGCCATGGACCAGTGTCAACTACAATTAACACCTGGTCTGGACTCACTGGACCGATGTCAACTGTTGATGCCAACATGCATACACTTTACGGCTTGTTACATTATGTAGAGTTTATTTTAACGACTTGGTTGTTGGTTGTAGGTCTAATGGAATAGCCCTTATATAAGCTGTTGCTGTGGTTTCCATGAGGGTGATTTTTTACGTATAACAATCAGCATTTTTTTACACATAAATTTCAACAGGTCTCAATGCGTTAGTTGACCCAGTCCTCTTCTAGTGAGTCGATGTATGTTTATTATAACTTTTTTTTTATATCATGGATAAAGATCGACATACGACTAATGGATAAAGACATTGATACACAAGACAAAGTAAGCAATGTGGATGAACCAATGTCAACTATAATTCACGATTAAACATTTTTTTTCAAATACATGTTTGAATTTTTTAAATACAATTTTAAGTCCTATAATCTAAAACAAGCGCATGTACGGGCAAACTTTTTTTCTGTCCTATGATTTTTTTTTCATAGGGTATTTGATCACTCGATTGGAGTTGGTCACAAGGCTGGGAAAAATCCAGTTTCCGTCCTACTGCCCTTGAAAGTGCCAATGTTATTATCAATTACTTTTTGTAACTTAAGTTAACAAAAAAAGTCGATAAAGATTATTTTTACTGTCATCATTATGATTTAAATGTAAACAAAAACAACACTGTATATTGGTTAGTTTGGACTAAAAGTAAAGAATAGGTTTATTCAGTTTGGTTTACATACATGCTGTTAAATATTTTCAAGGTTAATTTACAGGATCAACCCTTCCAGGGCTAAATTAAATGAATGGCTGGAGCTTAATTATTTTTTCCCTTGTTTTATTTTTATCCATAAAAATTATCTAACATTCTGAAGTAAATCTAAACCTCTAAGTTCCGCTCCCATGTCCTCAATCCCATTCCTCGCCAAGACTTCCACTATGTAAAGACTGTTCTTCAAGTTCATCATATCTATCACATTCCATACTAATATTTTCACTGTCAAGTATAAAACCTCCTCAGACATCCTTTTATTAACAATAACATCACAATAACATCTTCAAATTTCAGATAGTTTGCATTAGTAACTTTAGCTCAACAACATAAAAATAGAGGACAAAACACAAAATGTAAGCATCACTCACTAACAACCACGTGTGAAGTGACAGCAATATTTACTTAGGCACACTCTATGGTGCAAAATAGCAGAAAAAGCTGCGGCAATTATTATTGCCAACCATAAAAACAAAATAACCCATTTATAATGCAGTGTAATGTTTATTGCCCTATTATAAACATTGTACCTATATCAATTCGATTTTATGGCCCAGAAAAGAAATTTCAGAAATTTCTCGGGACGGATGTATCCGTTTTCAGCCCGGAAAGTAAGCAAAGATTGACGGATACATCCGTCCATAGCCCTGGAAGTGTTAAGAATGAAACGCGGAAGACCTCCAAAGCATATATACATAATCTGAAAGGGAATGAAGCTACATTAGATCGTCAGGAAACAAATTTCACCTCTTTGTCTACAACCAACCCAGTTCAAACCATCAGCTCATACACCATCTCACCATACGTCTCAAAACCTCCGTCAAGTCCCGCATCGAAGAATAAATAATGTAAGATCTTATGGCCGTGTAACATAATGAACAACAGACCGATCATCTTGAACGAGAGTTTCGACGAATCGCTGCTCGACGTTTGAAAGAGCGTCAGCGCACTGCAATCCCTCAAACCTCCAAAGTCGCCATGTCAGGAGATTTTGTATATTTATGATTGGAACCGTTTGACATGGAATTAATGCACACGACGTGTGTCCGAACTGATCCGTGGCTGGATAGTTCTTCAACATCCAAACTGATCCAGAAATCTGGCAGGTAGAAAATAGGGTCGCTTGAAACATCCAGTTTGATCAGCTATGCGTGGGTGATGCCCTATCTACTTCCCGTAGGCTACAGGTAGCAACCCAATACTGTATTCCGTAGCATTTCATTTTTGCTGCCCATTATAAATTCAAAACCTCAAAAAACTATCAGCTTTCAGTTTATATAAGTGTACAGTTATGTCAGTAGTTAATATTAAGACACGGTACTGTAAATAATCTAAATGCTACAGTATGATCTATGAAACGGGTGTAATTAGACACACATTACACAGTTGTGATATTATTTCAGCGATTAAATGTTTTTGGTTTGTAATAAAACTATTTTTGTAAATGATAAAATGTGTCTGATCAAACCGAGCAAGGCTCGGTCCCCCAGTAGTATATATTCTTTAGACTGTAATTGATCAGACATATATAAGATTGGTCTGTGGGTATGTTTACTTTTAATTCAATAAGCTTGGTCCAAAAGGTAAATCTGGCCTGTGGGTTAGGGCAGTGATGTCTTTGGCAATAGTGGTCGGGCGGCTGATATATCCCCATATGGGTTGTTATGCTCTGGATGGGAAACAGATATATCCGCCTTATCTTCAGACAGCCTGGCTAGTGTTTTGCAGTACCCAGATGTCTTGAGCTACCACAGCGCTACTTCCCCCGCGTTCTTTGCAACCACTGCGACCTTGAAAGTGACTCACCGCCCTCTCCCGTGCTCCCCCCACCCTCGTGATTTTGCGTGTGCAACACCACATTGTTTTGTTGGTGCTAAAAGCTACAGATGTTGTCTGTCTAGCAGCATGAATTAGTAATAAGCACAATCACTTATAACGTAAATAGTCCTGGTTTTCAAAGACGGGCCATTTTTCTGCTCATCCGCGCACGGGGGGCGGATATTTCCGCAGCATATTTTATGTGTATAAAAATAAGTTAAGAAGTATTTAGATAGTATGAGCTGTTCCATTTTGTTTATTTGATGTATACAGGTATAAAAAACTCAAATAATGAAAATTAATTTTTTATTTGAATAATTTTTCCCCGTCCTAGGCCTTAAAAAGTCGCCTGTCTGGGAAGGGCACTTAAAGTCTGGCATCAACTATAGTTGAGGATTGGTAGCGAACAAGAATAAAAATTAGTTTGAACTCAAATATCAAACTAGACAAGTGAAACTTTTACATAATAGTTAATGTTAGCTTAAAAAACAAGTCTTTTTGAGTTACTTGAACTACAGAAGTCCAAGCAACAATGGTCAGACAGAACATATTACAGGTGGTAGTTATTTAGATTCAATTCAGTGGACATTTTGTGCCTTGACATGCATTTTTAAACTAAAATAAAGCTAGTCAGAAAAATAAATTAGGTTTAAATTATTGTACTTACGTCATAGGGTATGTGAAACTGGTCAACTAGGTTACATTCAAGGAACATTCTAATAGTTGCTTTACACGTGTCATCATCGGTTAAATCAAAATCTATGAATGTGAAGCTGAAAACAAATACATGAAACTTAAATTTTAGTTATTATAACAATCAACAAGATGCATATGTTAAAAAGTTATACTCAAATGCTATTAGGCTTTATGACATCACAATAGGTTTTAACACTAACAATGTTTGCATAATTGGTACAATCAAAGCCTAATGAGATATTGGTATACATGACCATGGATTTAACATATACTGCAATAGTAGATGTGACACCCTCATGAATGAAATGAAATGAAACGTTTATTTGTCCCATAGAATTTACATAATTGTGATACATCACCAGTAAACATCCCATGTAGCACAGATGGTTGGGCCAACGTTGGTAAATTGTGGAGCCACACAGTTGGCCAACGGTAGAAATGTCACCTCTTTAAACTGTTTTCCAGCCAACCATTGTCCAACCGTTTTATTTCACACAAAATAATAAAGATTTAGTACGAAAAGCATAATTATTAGTTGAGTAAATTGATTAAATAGTTCATAAAAACAAATTTTGAAAAAAACTAGAACAAAATTTTTTTGGCCCAGACGGGTCTCGAACCCGGGTCCTTCGACTTATGAGCCTCTTACTTTACCACTAAGCTATCTGTGATTGCTGATATAGAGAGTTTTCAAGTGGTGAAAGAGTAGCCGACAGTTGCAATGGTCGCAATACTTCAAACATTTTTGATACTACACAGTATAATATGATTCTGTTAATCTGTTCAGGCATCATAAGTAGTTTTTTTTTTTTTTTTTGGAGTTAGAGAGGATACTGGTATTTGAATGATTAATTAATTACCGTTAGATTGTTAATGCTATTATAATTGCCTGTTATATGATTAATTACTCTTTCCCCTTAAATTGTTGCAAATAAAAGAATATTAATTTAAAAAATATTTGCATTATTAAAATTATTACAATTCATTGTTGTAGCGCCGGAACTGTAATATATAAAATATCTGGTTTTACAATACCTTTATCAGTTCCAAAAACTTTTGGAAACTTTTGGAACTGATAAAGGTATTGTAAAACCATCAGATATTTTATTATAATTATGTTGTGAAAGCTAGACCCAGAGAATGAAAGTCGTGTAAACTCAACTATGGACCATTGTTGGTCCAACAAAAGTATCTTTTGTTGGTCCAACGGAGTGAAAAACGGTTGGACAACGGTTGGCTTGATGTATGATACCCAGCAATGCATATTAATGTATTTCATTAACAATGAACCAATGTTGGTCCACAGTTGTAAATATTGGTTGGCCCAACTACGAGATATACAGTTGGACAACGGTTGGTTGGTTGTGGAAGCTCCAACCAACCATCGACCAACTGTCCCACAGTTGGCCAACGTTGGCCCAACCATCTGTGCTACATGGGATATGACACATCAGTTTTTCACAATAAAATACATGATATTATATATTTTATTTCATTGTAGATTAAAAAATAAGGTCAGAAGATTAAATATAACAAAAAGAGTGAGGTTAGTTACAAAAAAAATTCATCAACTGAATAAGGATAAAGTAGTTCCAAATGTTCCCTAAGTAGTCTTTTTAAAATATCCATCTTTTCTGTTGATTTGATTTGGTTAGGGAGGTGGTTGAATAGCTTCCTACCAATATACAAAGGAGCTTTCTCATAAATAACTGTTCTATGGATAGGGAACTGAAGAGTGTTTCTATGTCGAGTGTTATATCATTGACTTTAAAGTCAATGGTTAATATATGGATGTTGGCGATTTTTTGATGAGAATGAGGTCAAGTGTATTTTAACAAATATACATAGTTGATATATTATATACACAGCATGAATTTTTTATAGTTTCAAATGTACAAACAGAAGACAACAAGAAGTACAAGGTGCAGTGTCAGTTAAAACTCTTATGGCCATTTTTTGAAGAATAAAAAACCCATCTATGATCGGAGAGCTGCCCCTAGAAATAATGCCATAGCTAGCCCTGGACATAAAATAGGAATGGTAAACAGTCAAAGCAGCATTTAGTCCCGTTGTTTTGAAGATGACCCTTAATCTAAACAAAGCTTTGGCTAACAATTTAGTCACCTGAAATTGATGTTCTGTCCATGCAAAGGGTTAAATGTTCATTCATATACAAACCCAGAAATTTTATGTTTTCTGAAGCCTTGATTTGTTCCCCAGAATCCAAGCTTATGGTTACCTTTTCTGTCAACTAAAGATAATTTTATTTGTTAGTTTATTTGTTTCGCCTGGTGCTGCTAGGATTGTGTTTTTGTTTACAATAATTAGTTTTTCTTGTTATTTCAGGTATTTAAAACCTCTTTTAGCCAAATAAACCAATATAATCATAAACCTTACCCCATATTTTAGTTATAACCAAACAGTAAAGCAAAAATCATAGAATTATCCCCAAAATCATTTTCAAAAACCAAATGTTGTGTAAACTAGCGCCCAGTGTTGCGAACATGAGCTTAGTCATAAAAAGCAAGCTTCAGATAATACAATGAGATGAGAAGTCTACTTAAATGTGTTGGTTACTCTATTCTATGATTTTATAATGCACATTATAAGAGTCTAAGACCACCCTAATGCTGTATTGAAAATGAACACACTGAACCCTAATCACACATGAACTAGTGTGTGTGTTAGATGGCTATAATTTTAACACTCTCTAAATTTAATCTGTACTAATTATTTGTGTGAATTAGATTTACAAATATATTTTAAGACACTCTCTACCGGTGGTGGTAACTGGTAAACCATACATACAGAGGAGTGTGGTGGCAGGGAGATTGTGTTGATCAATATGGTAAACTGTAATATATAAACCAACACATGGTTTATACAACCCATTAAACCACACACCACATGACACATGTAAAAATATTGATGTCTATCAGAGCATTGGAAGGTCTTGATTCATTTCCAAGAGTAGAAGAAGTGTGTTATGACAGTGACAGTGGTTCGGTTTTGTTATTAATGATGTGTGGTGTTTGAAGTTCAAGAAACCATTATCCACAATATGTGTTTATTAAATGATACTGTTTCTCTAACCTGTTCAGCTTGTAGGTTTGTGCCGAGGGTATGGTATCCTGTATCAGTCTTGCAGTGTCGTCTGATGATGCTGTGGCGTGGTATGAAAGACACTCCAGTGCTACTTTTTGTTTAGCCATCAATTTACCTAAAATGACATTTTTGTAATTCAAAGTACATTTATAACTAAAAACCAAGAATATCTCTTGGTCTCTCTCAGGCCTTCCTAAATCTAAAAATATACAAAAATGTGAATTGTTATGAGTTTTCAGGTCAAATATATTGTCTAGAATTTTATTCTATTAAATATTTCTATTTTACAATAAGCTTTCTTTATATACTTACAAGCATTTTCATACATCTGGGTATTGTGTATTCCTAATCCACAGAATATTGCAAAGGCCTCAAAAATAGAAACATCACAGTCCGTAAAGGGTTGACCCGTATCCTAAAACAAACATACAATGATTGCTGGAATCAGGTTACACAAGGAACTGTCCCTCCGTAAATATGTACCTGCTCCCACAGGGGGCGGGCATATATTTTCCAATAAGCGTTTCAGATAATTCAAAACCCAAAGATTATGGTAAAAAATTGTTTTAGTAAAAAGCTTAACTATAAGTAAACAATCTCATGTAAATTAATAGTTTATATACATTTACATATATTTACATACAAGACACTGTCAACTGCGATCGGAATAACACTGTCGTGGATGCATGACGTTTCTCTGTGCCATTACTCAAGGTCAAAAACACTGAATACCGCACTCCCTACCTCTCACGGAGTGCTGAGTTTATAGGGCCGTCACATGTGTTAAAGGCAATAACCAGGAGGCGCCACGGAAAAATTATATAATTTTAAAAAATAGTTTAAATATACATAATGTAAAGGTCTGTGTAAAGGTGCAAGAGGTTTGATTTTCAAGCCAAACCAAGGCTATCCTACAAGCTTGAGGGATCGAGCACTAAGTCAGAAAATCTAAGGTTGAGCCGAGCTTTTACGATCGCAATGTTCTGGTTATCGCAAAACGCATCTGCGACTGCGAAGATCACACTTTATCAGCAGGATCGACAACAATAACGTTTCCGTGATCGCGGAAGACGATGATCATGTTTCTGAGACTGTGGGGCATGATATTAAGATTAGGCCCCAATTGTGGTGGATGGTGATTATATTTTTTCTACCCCGGGACCAGATGTAGGCTTTTGCCACATTTGCGGAAGATGATGATGATATCTATACGACTGTCGGATAATTTTTATTTTGTTGCAGTTGTGGAGGACGATTACTATATTTCAGTTACCGATATTTAAGATTATGCTGCAATCACGGGAGACGACAATGATGTATATCGCAGGAGATCATCTCAATTTTTCCGCAATCGCTTCGCTGAGGACTATAATGATGTCTGTAATAATGATGTGTTACGTTAAAGCATCCTGCCCTTGGCACCTGAAGTTTAAGTTATGACAGTGTCAGGGCCGTAGCCTATTTCCCTAACCGCAGACAAGGCCAAAGACCCCAGCCTGGGAGGAGGCTTTACTTGGGGCCTCGAACATTCTTTACCCCTCAAAAATAATTTCACCTATTAACTGTTAGGAGGGGTTGCCCAAAGCGTCAGGTAGTATTAGGAAATTGAAAATCACCATTTTGCCGCAATCGGGGTTCAGACTGCAATGAATTTCTCGCAACACAAAATATGTTCATTATTTCACTGTGAAGGTAGGAGACAGTCACAAGAATTCCTCGACTATAGCGGAACATGTCTATAATTTCAAGGTAACCACAGGGAACGCTCATGATTTTGTTGTTTTAGAGGACAATTTAATTCATTTTTATTATTTGTATTTTGTTGAGGATTTCACCGTGATTGCAGTACCGGTACCTAGTCTTTTAAGATGATTACAGTCCAACATTTTTTTTAAATCCATACTTATCAAAGCAACTTGATTTAGTACCTACCTAAGTTTATTACGAGACCATAAGTAAAATGTTTTAACCCGACTCTAAGTAAGGTCTGTCATGTGGACCCTTATATTATTATTTAAAATGAAATTTGGATGATTGAAAAAAAAGGGTTGAGTTCATAGAAGGTGAAGTAATCAATCCCACCTATATATCTTAACCCCCTTAAGCTTCTGCCGCTAAAGAATGAGTAGAGAGGGCCTGGTGTGAGCCCCAGGGGCCTTATAGATTCTAAATACGACCCTGGACAGTGTTAAAATGTAACTGAACTATTAGTATAGTTACAGTAGTGACTTAAAACAGTTTTAAGCCTGGTTAACATAAAAAAATTTCCTTAATGTTTGGTGTATAAAATAGCAAGAAATGAGGTACCTCTTTCAGTATTTGTATGTATTACTAAAAATAATCTAACAGCAATTTTCCTTTACAGTAGGTAAATTAAATTAAAATAATTAAATGACATGCTATGTTTAAGATTTGTCTGTTTATAAAAAAACTATTAAAACAATACATAAAAGTACCTTATTTATTAACTGAGCTACTCCTATGACTGACTTCTGGCCGTTGACGATGGGCATACACAGCACACTACGGCTTATGAATCCATCCTCCTCTTTCACTTCATGGTTCATCCAAGATGACAAGTCACCTATGTTGAGAATCTGTAAAAGAGAAAATAAGAAAATTTCAATGAAATAACCCTCTAAACCTGTATATTTGTCATGTTTAGTATTTATCCTATACTCTAATACAATATTGGTTAATTTAAACCCCTTTTCTGATGTTATACTTAACAGATTTTACGATTGAGGTGTGATTTAAGATGTCTTATGATCAAGTGGAGTGATGAATGGTAACTAAATAAGAGGTGATTTCCTTTTGGCCAACACTCCTCCCCTAGCGTTTGATTTAAAAGAGTTATTTATTTAGAGTTTACTTTCAAAGGTTCAATGATGCTGACGAACTTTGCTTTATAACGTTATAAAACATGAATGATTTTAATTTAACAACTGACCTCTCAGTTGAAAATTGAATGTTTTACAACAGTTTGATTGTACACAAGATACAAACCAGTTTATGAAAATGGGATTTAGATAGGTAACTTTTTGATCATTGTAACCTGATTGAGATAGGTAACTCACTCTTCAAGGTGTAGGTGTAAAATTTTACAAATTTCTTTTACCGTTAGTATGGTATTCGCCTAATAAAAAGTTCTTGAGAAAACCTCAAATTTGAAAAGTAAAAGGATGATATTACATATTCGTTCAGCCTCGGAAAAAATCTTTGAACCCTATAAAATGCACAATTTGCTCACTTGTAGCAGCTTATTTCAAATAGAGTATCTATATGGAATAATGTCAAAGAAATGAGTATTTGTTTGTATCTTAATCCTTTTTTTCTGCCATATGCCTGGACTGTTCGGCTATTCAGTTTTGCATGTTCACATCAAATTCAGGAGCCGAATTGAATGTGTGTAGCAGCTTTGACTATTAACAGACTAAAGACCTACATGTTTAGAAGCACGTTAAGTTTAATATACAACTTTGGTAGATACCAGTACCTACATATAGTTCTTCTTATACGTAATTTTTTCTTATACCTACGGTATTAGCGGAAATAAACAGTTCTGAAAAACATTTTACTGATTCAGTTACAGTACGGTACTGTTAATTTTGGCACATACTGTATTCGACCTATTTTTTTTTTATTGTGAAAATTAAAATGGTTTGTGTGATAAGGTATGATCCCAAACCCTCATGTGTTTTCTATATCCCTAGCCTATACCTGTCCAGTCGCCGCCACATATCTGGCAATTTGCACAAGCCGAGACTGGTTCAGGTCTGACACTGTTGGTCTGTTGATCACAGCATCCTTGGAATCAGCCTTTAGCTCAAATACAGTCATGAACGCAATGTTCTGAAACAACATTTATGGATATCAATAATAATCAAAACTATAACCAGTGGCATAAATAACACCCCCGCAATCCCCACCGAGGTGTGCCAAGGTCCGGCTGTCACCGCTCACAGCAATCGTGGATTAAGGTGACGTTATTTCCGTGTCCGCGAGAGATGTCGATGATGTCTTCAAGACCGAATAAGATATTCATGATTTTGTTGCAATCACGGAAAAAAATACCGCCGTTTCTGTGTCCAAGGGAGACAATGATGATGTCTTAATGAATGCGGATGATGTACAAGATGTTGACGGAAAATGATGACGTTTTCCGTGACCGTGGGAGACGATGATCATGTCTACAAGAACGCAGGATATATTCATATCAAGATTTGGATGTGATCACGGAAAACGATGACAATGTTTCCATGCGACACAATAAAAAAACGTCCGCGAGAATTTTTGGATTTTCCTGCAATCACGGCTTATACTGAGATAAATGAATAAAACCTAGGCTAAGTGACGGATGTTTTGGGAGAAGGATGGTGGGCATCTACATGTACTGAGAGGGGGCGCTGCTCGATGTACTTACACCACTGGCTATAACAGACACATATCAATGGAGGTTTCTCATGAGCCACTCTGAGGCAAGCTATAAGGGTGATTAATTTTATTTTTAACAAATAATTTATCAATCCTTTAGTTTTTTAAACACTAAAACATTGCTGGTACCAAACGGTGTTCTCGCATGTTCAAAACACAATGTCTAAATACCACTAAAAGGTTTTAGTAGCAAGCAACATAAGAACATAATGTATTCCAGCATGTTTAATTAATGCTTACCAGAAATTACTAAGTAATTTTAAACTATAGTATATGGAGCAGTACAATTATAATGTAAAATGTGGAGAGCTATTGTACCCATTATATTTTTAAAGGGTCAATTAATTTTGTATAATCATAGTTAAGAAAATTAAACAAATAAAAATATGGGCATATAGTCCATCAAAATGAGGCTTAATCTGTAGATTTGCAAAAACATTGTTGGTCCCCAAAGGGCTTTACCCTATAGGTCAATTGCCGGAGGGCTCCCTCCATCTTACATGCTTTCACTGTTCACATTATTTAATTAATTAAATGATCAGCTGGTTGATACAATTATAACAGCTGTTGGCTTGTTTTCATTTTCGTTTACTTTTTTCTTTAGAGTACTTTCAGGCTTATGTAAGTCAACATGCAAGACAAACCAAAAATGTCCGTTGGTCGTCTAAGACATTGTCTCAGAATTTTGACAGGTCAACGGGAAATCTAAGATTTAATTTCATTTCATTTTTGGTGGACTTACACAGTTATAAGAGTAATTGATTTTTTATTACCCATGGTATGTTATTTGTTAGATTATTTTGGATTCAAATATAAAAGTCAGTAGGGCTATGCTTTTAAATAAGTTTATCTTCACAAATTAAATCATAGAGTTACAGTATTTTTAAACACGTCTGAACACTCAGGCATTGTAGGAAAAGAAGTCGAGGACAGACTGGCAAACATCTCAGTGGCAACTATGATTAATACAACCTTTCTGTGGTATATCATGACTGTAAAGTGTGCATGCACTTATCTATTGCGTTGGCCACTGAAACGCACCGAAAACAATGGCACCACTTAAGCAGTGTACAGTGTAATGGTATACTGGATAAAACTTAAACCATCTTGATTGAATTTAAAGAAAATAATTTAACTAGGGTATACTAAGTGGGAAAATGGTAGAAAAATAAGTTGAAGAATTTAACTATACTACATAAATTTAAGTTTTGTTTCTAAAAGGCCTATGAATAATAGATTTTGAACTACAGTAGACTATTTCTCATCCGGACACCTTTTAACCGGACATCGGTTTAACCGGACTACACTCGGCAGAAATTACATCTCTTAAACCGGACAATTTTTATCAGCATATTGGTTTAACCGGACTAAATCGGCAGGAAGTGGGCAGTACTGAAACGACTGTTCTTGTGGCAAAGATTTGAGATCACGTGTCTAAATACAATGCTCTCCTAAATTTAAGTCGAATATCACAGTAAACTGTCTGTCTTAACAAGTTTTTGGGGACGTCAGTTTAACCGGAAAACCCGTTATCCGGACTGGCCTCGGTCCCGAGGAGTCCGGATAAGAGGAAGTCTACTGTATTTCATACAGCAGATCTAAAGAACAGCATTATTCTCTTTAACGTCCTTTTCCTGGTGTGAAGAACAGCTATAGCAGCTAGGAAATAACTATAAACATACCTTGTCTTCTCCTTTCTGTGCGATTATGTCCTCCACATTGACATTATTGCTCTGAAATTAAGTAAATAAGATCATTATATTCAATCATATGATACCAAACAACTAAAGCACAATATACATGTGTGTAAGTTTTATTTTCAAAGAAACTATGTGCAGCTGCTATGTGATAGAAATCTAAGGTCTATAGATATCTTACAATTGTTCATCTGGGATAAAATTATTATATTTTTCATTTCATATAGTATTCATTTCCTAAAGCGGCTTTGCTTGTAAGACCTACATAGCTTGCAATTTAGAGATGCACTATGGTAAAAATCCAGACAATTTTTAATACGGATAACTTTATGTGATAACATTGACTATTGGATACTGAAGGTGATAGTTTGACTTACTTCTCTTTTTTAATACGGATAACTTTATGTGATAACATTGACTATTGGATACTGAAGGTGATAGTTTGACTTACTTCTCTTCTGCACAGGGGTTTTCTCTCAGCCACCACACGCCCTGGTCTTTCAACTATGTTCGCAAGATGACTCTGGAAATCAATTCAAAAAGATTAAAAAATCACAAATTCATGATAGTGATTTAGGTATATTATATTACAAATATAGACAATTATTTGGCCTTATTCACTTCCTACCCAATAGTCCAAATAGCAACTCTTCTAAGATCTAGTTAAGTTAGTTAAAGTTAGTTAAGATCTAGCTCAAATGCTGTGAAGGGAGTGTTGTCAGAAAACCACCACAACATGCAATCCAGTGTGGTGAGGTCGTAAATATTCCAGTGTGGAAACGCTCACTGACTGATGTTGCAGAAAAATACTGGGCTCCTATCTATATATATAATCTTTGGAAAAATCAGAGTGGGAACGCCGTACCCTCAAGTTCCCTCCTGCCCCAACCCCAATACACCATTGATGCAAGCATGCATGAAATTCGACCTACTGTTTTGTTTGTAGTTATAGTCTTCCTTGAGAAGTTACTGTATTGCCTGTATTATCAACCTTCAGAAGCTTGTTTTTACTTTTCATGAACCATTATTCGCAGGTACCCAACAGAGAGTGACAAAGTTTCTTCTAGGTGACACTGACAAAACAGTTCAAGATGTTCTCTGAGCTAGCTGACTGAGTGTGAAGAAGGCTGATTTGAGAGCTGGTGTGAGAGAGCTAGCTGATTTGTCCTGCTCTCATCATTTCAGTATCATGATTTAGTCTGTTAAATTTGCTTGGCTACAACAACTAGATTATTACTTTTTAACCCAGTAGAATTTTAATTCTAAGAGTATGCCTAAATACTAAAAACTGCATCCTCTTAAAAAAAGACAGTTATCCAACCCCTTACATTTTTGTGGATAAGACTAAAAATGTGTTGGACCTTTTTGTCTCTGGCACCAAAGTCTAGAATATGCATCACTAGCTAGCAGAGGTGCCCATCCCTCTAACAAAGTTTTTCAATTAAAAAATTATGAGGACAATTAAATAGTTGCGATGGATAGTTGAGTAATTTTGAAATTATGAAAAGGCCATTCTCATTATAGAGAATTCGGAATGGTCTTTTCACCCAACCCGGAAAAAAATTAGGTAGCTACAAACAAAAACCCCAAGACCAGGTGGCCGCTCGAGGAATGAAGAAAATAGGACTATTTTTCTCTCAGCGAATTGTACAAGAATGCTCTCTGACTGCATCATAAAGTCGTCATGACAATAATCCATGACTACGACATCATCTTGTCATTCGCAGGTGGTTGCAATGACATCATCATCCACTCCTGTGATCTCAGAAATATATAGATGGTCCCAAAGCTACCGCGAAGACATCATCATCGTTGCCTCCTGTTATCGTGGCTACATCTTGACATCCCCCGAGAACGTGAAGATCTTGACATCCCTCCCCTTTCTTCTAGGTTTACAAAAGACATCATCTCAGGCTCCTGAGAACGTGGCAATATCTTGACATCCCTCAGAGGTCGTAAAGACATCAACATTAACTCCTTTGATCTCGGCAATCTTGTCATTCCTCCACGTTTGCAAAGACATCATCATTGCCTCCTGTGATCGGAGCAATATTTTGACATCCCCGCTTTCATCCCTGGTCAAAAAGACATCATCACCATCTCCTGAGATTGTGGTAATATCTTGACATTCCTCAGCGGTTGCAAACACATTAACTTATCAATGCCTCCCAATATCTTGGCAATCTTTACATATCTCCGCGGTCGTGAAGATGTTATCATCACCTACTGTGATCTTGGCAATCTTGACATCCCCCCATGGCTGCGTAGCCACTAGCCAACATAACCACCTCCCATGATTGCAAAAATATCCTAACACCCCTCCACAGCTGCGAAGAAATCATAACTGCCTCCTGATAGCAGCTATAGTTTTACATCCCTCAGCGGTCTCCAATAGGTAAATATCATCACTTTCCATAATCTCATCAGTTTGTTAATATTTTTCTCCTGTGGCCACAAGGATATCATCTCCTCCTGTCATCTTGGCAATCTTCACATTCCCACCACTGCTGCAAAGACATCATCACCGCCTCCCGTTGTTGCGGCAATATCTTGATGCTACCCCGTCTTAATGCTAAGGTGGCGAAGACATTGAATTGTTGCAAGGAACAAATTTTAGTTATGAATAGCCAAAATTATGTTGCAGTGAAAGTGTTATTAAGGTGTATGGATTTAATAAAAACATTTTAGGGCTTCTCATAAAAAAACATGATAAATTATTAATGGCAATATGTAAAATAAATTTACTGAAAATCCCGTGGAGGCATTCATGCCACTGTCCCCCCTCTTGGCACCCCTGCTTACTAATCCTCCAACGCTGTCCAAGACGCTAATCCAGATAGAGCTGTCTGTGTTTTATTTATCTACATCGTTAGCGTGTTTTACATTATTTGTATGAGAACGGTTTTTACCCTGGTCTTGTTACTATATAAAATCAACCTTTTGCTAGATAGGATTATTAAAAGATAACACAACGAATGTACTATATAGGTTCAGAAGTGATGTTATTTGCACTATTTAGACTAGTAAAGCCTATTTTAAAGCCCTATTTGAGTAGTATTTACACAACGTGTTATTTCTCAGATATACTGTATTTTGTCACCTTTTCGCCACAGTCAGAGTCAAGCAAGAACACTGCACATCTCTCACACTTGAGTAGGTCTCGAGCCTCTGTCATGATCTTGGTCACCAGACACTCGAGGTTGTTCTGCTCCTCGAAGATACTCCGAGCCAAGTTCAACAGGATCTAACAGACATCAGTTGCTACTACACTATACAATACAACACTGCATACAATCTAAACGTAATATAATATAATTCATGGCCCCTGGACTATATTGTTAAGACAATACCATAGGTTTTTTTTTTTTTTTACATACCTCAGTCAAATAGTCCAACGAATACTATTGCACGCATCAGCTTACATGTTTCGTTGCGAAGACAAAATTTTCCAAAGAGCTTGCAACTCGTCAAAAACTAATTTAAAACACCAACGACACAAACACAAAAAAAAAATTAAAATGGTATGAATAAACAACAAACATTTTGTAGTGCGTGTTTTAATTGTTTTTTAGACGAGTTACAAGCTTTGGAAAATGTTGTCTTCCCAACGAAACATGAAAGCTGATGTGCAATAGTAATCATTGGGCTATTTGACTGAGTTATGTAAAAAACCCATTATTGTCGTAATATAATTGTAGTTTTACAATTTACACTTAAATTCGAGATGACTGAAACTGTTAGGAAATACTTTAAAAGAAACTAATGGGTAGTTTAATTAATTTTTAACTGCAGGCCTAATCGTTTTGATCAAAATTTTGATTGTGAAATCATATTTTTATTTGTTTCTAATATTGAATCTACTTCAAACAACACTTGAATCAATACATAGAGCACATAGTTTTACATGATTATGACATAGCTAGACGAACTGTGTAGTGAGGTTTGAAGTGCCCAGAGGAATTATATTTTTGTCTGACCTTTCCCAAAATGCACAAAGGTCATGTGTGTGATATTGCCAAGGCACTAATATAGTTGAATGTTTAGTAATATATACAATTAGTAGTAAATAAAAGAATGGATTACTTGATTTCTTCTGTATTCTTGAACTGACATTTCAAATAGCTGAGCATTTTGAATACTGATTCCACAAAAGGTAAGGTACCTTTGGAACACCTGGAAAACACAAGAGGTTATTATGATTTTTTTTTACAAGATGAGCGAAAAACATTAAACATAAGAAGTATATGTACGGTAGGAAGTTGAAAGGATGCCAAAATAGGAAGAGAGATGGTGGGAAAGGTCGGGTTGTTTTAGTTTATTTGTTTCTATTTTAATCAGTTACAACATACTAACCAAAATAAGTGCCAATTTAAGAACTATGGATAAAACTTAAAACTTATATTGATGAAAAAGTTTAATAATCAAAACCTAATCTTATAGTTTTAGTGTATCAGTGCATTTGCACAGGTTCCAATCAACAGATCCACCCACAACTGTTTGCTTTCCATGTGACGTTTGAACACATATTAATTGTTAATCCTACAAGTTAACTGACCAAACATGAGTTGAACATAACAATGCTTTGTTGATGAGTGAAAATTTAAAAACGTACGCTTTAAAAAAAGAACTTTATAAAAAAATGTTACAGTTTTTTATTTTTTTATTACATTGACATTTTTGATGTTTCATAAAATGTCCATGGTAACACAATATCTTTGGTGGTTTTGGTGGTTTTTTTTATTAATAAAGCATCTTTAGTGGAAAAACACGAAATTCTGTCACGACCATAGCAGACGTAAAAATGAATATTAAAATAGTTAAAGTTATTTTTATAAATATGTTTTGCTGGAAATACATTTAGTTTTAGGGCCATTTTACAATAAACAGCTCATTAAGCCTTTGGTAAATTTGGTCTTTCTAAAAAAGAAATCGTAAAACTAAAAAAATCTAAAAAAAGTTCAACAACATCTCTGTAAGTTTGTATAACTCCAAACAAACGAAAAATGAAACTTTAAAAATAAGAAAAAATGCCTAGAACCTATTGTTAACCAGATAAATGTTTGTGTCATGTTGCCCCCGTCCCAAAAAATATGAAAACCCATAATAATATACTGCAGAAACAGTATCTATGAAAGAAAAGGCCAGGGCCAGGGACATTAAAACGTACGTTTCAAAATTTTCACTTTGATTCTAACATTAGTTTTTTAATGTCACATCAAAGACACTGAACTTTGTGATTTCATAGTTATTTGAACGACAATGTATGTAAAAATCCGAATCAATCGACAACAGACCTCAACGTCCCTGTCAGTGAACTCATTGCATGAGTCAGTCTTGTTGATGATCTGGGCCACTCCTATGACGTCCCCCTCGTAGTTACATATAGGTACACACAGAATGAGCTTGGTCTTGTAGCCAGTCCTCATGTCTATCTCACTGTTGAACCGAGGGTCCTGCAACACATATATCACCCTTGAAGTTTTTTAAAGTTTAGGGAAGTGAAGAAGCAGCAGACACAAAAGGAACAGCATTATCTTAGTTACTGTAATGATTTAAGGTTATCAGTCTTGTTTCCATTCGTGGATTAAAGGTCAAATGCATTATATTGCCTTTAAGGACAACAAAATGAAGAACATCCTCTTGTAATTGTGTTTCTCCTTCTCTATCCTTATCTCACGTAATACAAAAGTTACAAAATATTTTTTTTTAACAAGTTTGGAATTTACTTAAAATTAAAGTATAGTTTTTAATGTTTGGTTCATAAGTCCATTTTAGATATAATATCCAAACAAGGTAAGGGTTGTTGACTCTTGAGGTGTCCAATGTTTTTCTCCATCCTACGGTGATTTATTGTGAGGAGGCAGAGTGATAAGTGAACATGAGGTCAGAGAAAGTAAACTTTATTGTCGTCGTAGATCAAATGTTCTTTAACAAATCTTTGATACAAGATTTATATTCATGATCTGGTTATTATTAGAGTGCCATCTGATTGAATGATAGAAATTTAAAATTAAGTTTTAAAAATGAATAATTAATATCTAGCACGGACATAAGAAAAAAAAATTTTATGGATCATAATCATACAGAAACCATGTCACTAGGCCCGAAGGTAGGCCTATAGGCCTACATGATTTCATTAATATTCAAATGGAACTGTCAAATATAGTCCAAACCACCTTTCATGGTTCCAAGTATAGACATTCTACAATATACATTCTCGCCAATGACGTCATTTGTTTATGTTTATGGTCCTTACCGTTTCTGTTCTAATATTCGTGGTAACTATAGCTTGAACTTTAGGGCTCTTTTGTTGGTGTGGATAGATGCAGCATGAAAATAATAGTTTTTGGCCCCTAGGGAGTAAAAACCAGCTGTTGTAAACAGCTGTAAATTTCGATTGTGGCAATCATATCGATCAAATTATTTATCGATTGTTTTATTAGGTAAGTTTTTAGCCTATCGTTGTTGATCGCTCGACATATCGATGGTATCCCAATCGTAATAGACGAAATAATTGAATCACTTATTAAACAGCTGCTTATAAGGATTAGCAGAATTGAAAACAAGCTGGAAGTTGTTTTGAGAGGTCCAAACAATTTACATGCAAATTATTTCGTTTTCTATCTTAGTTCGTTTATCAACGATGCGATATGACGAAAACCACACGGCCAAAAAGTGTCTCTTTAACCCTCGGCTTCGCCTCGATCGTAAAACTTGACTCCGGGTCAAAAAGAGTCACTTCAGGCCTTAGTGATAAATTATACTATTACTAGCTGACCCGTCGAACTTCGTATCGCCTAAGTTATAGGTTTCCCCTAAGACAGACCGATGGAAAGAAAGTACCGTTACGTTTAATTTTCAAGATGATCTCGTTCGCATGGCTCAATCACGTCCTGGTTGAAGTTCGTTCGCTACGCTCACTCACCTTTGGGTTGGAGCTCGTTCGCTACGCTCACTCACCTTTAGGTTTGGAGCTCGTTCGCTGCGCTCACTTGCCTTCAGGTTAGCTCGTTCGCTACGCTCACTCGCCTCCAGGTTGAAGTTCTACGCTCACTCACCTTTAGGTTTGGAGCCCGTTCGCTGCGCTCACTTGCCTTCAGGTTAGCTCGTTCGCTACGCTCACTCGCCTCCAGGTTGAAGTTCGTTCGCTACGCTCACTCACCTTTTGGTTGCAAATTAGCTGTTGTCATAAATGTAAAAGAAATAATAGTGCTGCACCCTGTTGGTAATCCTTGTAACTTTAATGCTATTGAACATCATAGAACAGAACCAACTTGTTTAATTGAAACAGCTGTTATGATTCATTAATTCCATTTAAATATGAGTACTCATTAGGTTAACATGGGAAACACCAGAGCCACTGGGGCGGAGCCCGAGAGTCCGATCAGAATAAAAACCACTTCAATGCCTAAAGAATCAGTGTACCAAATTTCAGCCTCCTAGGTAAATGAGAAGTGGGAGAATTAGTGATGAGTGAGTGAGTGAGTGTGTCAGTGAGGGCTTTGCCTTTTATATATATAGATTTTACATAAATGGGTTTCGTCATAGGTTGGCAAGTTTATTTTTTTAATTTCTGACACATCAGAAGATGGGACTTGACTTAAACGTTTATGTTCCAAATTATTGTACTATGTAATAAAAGAAAGATAAGTTAAGAAATCACAAACAAGTTCTTTTAATGTTTACTTTTTTAGGATGGATACTAACTTTTATTCAGCAGGAATTTCTTCGGTTGAAATGAGATAAACTGAACAGTCTCTGAAGTAGATGAAGTATACACTTTACAACTCAATTCAATGTGATTGCTGAATTAAAGTAAAAAAAAAAAAAAACAGTAATTAAAAGTCTAAATACCGGTACATCATTAATTTTTTTACACAGTTTATTTTCATTTTAACCTACCTTAAATTTATTTGAACTTTTATATGGATATCATTCTGTATGTAACAATTTGTATCATATTTTTTAGGACAGTAGAATGGTATTTAATAAAATTGTTTTACAAATATTTGAATTAAAATAAACAATATAAGGATATTTATATAGCACACTATGAGAAGAATTAGAAATATCTTAAAACCCAAAACACGTTTATAAGTTCTATTATTTTACCTGATTTTCAGTTACGACAGTGTGTTTTTCCATTTAAAACTTATAGTGATTAGGTAGTCTGGATTGTGTTTTCAACAGTGTTGGGGAAGCTACTTTTAAAATGTAGCTAGCTACAACTACTGCTACATTTCCTAAAAAGTAGCTTAGCTACAGCTACAGCTACAGTTCCGAAAGAAGTAGCTAGCTACAACTACAGCTACAATGAAATGTAGCTACAGCTACAATTTTAGCTACTTTTCCAAAGACGTTACTTTTTATTCCACGCACATTAGGTAAATGTAAAATTAATTTCAACTTCATTTTTATTGAACAAACATTTAAACAAAAAATGTCACATTAACTAACATTACTTGGAAAACAAATTATTCCTAGAGTGTATTTAATTTGTTGGCATTATAAACCAAACATTACAACAACAGAAACAAATAGTTGGGTGTCCCATCATATGAAGTACCTACTTATTTTTAAATAACTTATTGCATTATTTTGAAGCAACTTATGTAAATTTCATTAAGTTCAAAGGACACACAACCAAACTATATTTTAAAAGCTCATTTTATTTCTTAAATATAGATTCATTTATAGATGTCTTATATCAACAATTAAGACCAATAAAACTGTAAAACGATTATTTAAAAATATTTTTTGTGTTACAGAGCCTAGCCTACTGAAATTGGAGTTTATTGCCTTTCTTTTCTTTTAATGTTAAAAACGACATTGCTATAACTTTTAAACATAGTGATAAGTTACTTGTTCTATGAATAACACTTTTCAATGTCAAGAAATCGTCCTTTATTGTCATTATGCATAGGGCAAATTGTGCTTCAACCTAGTTGGTACAGAAAACAGTATTCAACAACTCATACTGAAATCGGCTTTTAATTTAAACATGTTGAAATTTGTAAAGTAACAAATTTGAAAATAACATGTAGGCCTACTTGGCTATGTAACAAGTTGGCTATAGTAGGCTTGTTCTTGCAAGGACTAAACAGATATATTAATAATAATTGAACTTGGAACTTGGTCTTAAACCATAGCATAGCCTAGGAATAGTCCTATACAAGAGCTGTTAGCAGGAGCAAACTATGCTATTTTTTCAATGTAAGTTTCATGTTATATGGGGATTTTTTCGTTACAATTATCATGTAGTCTAGGCATATCTTAAATCTCAAGTAATTTCCTCTCTGTTAATTTAGTAAACCTTTGAACAATCTTCGTAATCTAACCAAGGAAGGGCTTGTGATGATGAACCAATATCAACAGCTGAAGCAAAGGTTGATAGACCAGCTTTCTCATTATTTTAAGGTTTAGTGTTGGTTTTTGGTTTCCATTAAAACCCAAGTTGAAACACTATCGATGTAATAAAGAAACTAAATTGACTACTAATTTCCCTGTCAATCACTTGCAAGCATTCAATAGCTTCTCTTGTCACCGGTAACGTTTAAACGTCGTCTGCATCTAGTGATTTTATTTTATCTGAGTAATCATAGAGTAGTAAATTAAGGAAATTAGAGCCAAAAATGTGGATAACACTCATTTAATGGCCTCCATGTCCACACAACGTTGTAATAGGGAATGAAACGGCTGCAACCAGCTGTATGAAGCCAAGAAAGTAGGCCTTTTTTTTGAAAATCTCAGTTTGAAAGAGGTTGTTTCACGTAAGGTTGAGGTTATGATAAAAATCACTATCTCAAACAATGTTAATGTAGCGAGAAAAGTAGCTAAAATTCCGCTACAACTACTTTAAAAATGTAGCTAGCTACAGCTAAAGCTACAAAATCTTAAAAGTAGTGTAGCTACAGCTAACGCTACAAAAAAAGTAGCGCGCTACTGTAGCGTCGCTACTTGTAGCGCGCTACTTCCCAACACTGGTTTTCAAGCACCTCATGAACTTTGCCCTTTAACACCAGAGAAACAATAATACTTTGCTTTGCAAATAACACCTCAACATTCAACAAAACACTAACATTTAAGTTCTACCCTTTATCAACTGACAAATTAAAAGAAAAATAATTTAACTTGATAAAGGTAGAATGGTTACATTTTGTATGTTTTGTTATTTTACATAATTATTACTTCTGTAAATTATTTAAATATTTTTATCATTATGAGGTAAAATATATGTCTTATAATCTTTGTATCACTGTTTGATTAAATTAATAATATAATTCAATAATTACATTTAATCTTATCGCCGAAGTTTTACTCTATAAACATTGTCTGTATTTAGCAGCAGCCATTAGAGAGTGCTTATCAGGCACCCAGTACATTTTATAATTTTCAAAATAGAACAAGCCCATGGCAAGTTTTTATATTTGAGTTTATATTTGACATACTAGTATTTCTCTACCTAAAACAAACCAATTTGGTAGTTTCTTACGCAATTGGTGTATGTGTAGTTTTGGTTTTCCAAAACCTCAAATTGGACTTAAATGGAATAAATTTAGTAAAGCATGGCAGATTTCATCGTGCCACTATATATAAAGGTTTTCTTCTATAATTTTTAGCATTTAAGCAATTGATTGTGCAATTTATGCAAATATAATACCATGTACCTACGATTACAAAAGCTGAACAAGTGAATGGAAACAAAAATATTATGAAACTAGGTCAGGACATTTTGGATTCACTTTCTTCATCAATACTTAATGATACATATAACAAGATTCAATCACTTCTATAGTGGTAAGGAATGTTACCTCATAAGCATTCTTTATGTTGACAGGCTGCTTGGTCTGAGCCACGGCTCCTGCTACACCTACGCCGAACGGTATCCTGATCTCCTCAGCCTTGGCTTTCTGCACCGCCTCGTCCAACTCTGAAACACAAAACACAACAAATAACTTATCAAACACCTTGAGTAACAGATTATGTGCGTTATACCATTGACTATTGGATACAGAAGAATAAATTGATGTATGCCGCTAATGCATTGCATGGTTACAGTAGTCATGTTAACCAACCTACCTACTGTGAAAAAGCTATCAACTGGAGTTGATGACATCAGCTGTCCATTTTGCTAACTTTTAAACCAGCTGATTTTATAAAGAAAAACAGCACTGCTTAGTAATATCATAGATTAAACATACTCCTAAGTATATTTGTCATCCTTATGGTATGGATCAGCTGAAAACGAGTTTATTGTTATTTCTGTCCGGTGCAGCTAGTATCGTCTATTCGTTTGCAATTTGTTTCTTGTTATTTCAGTTATTTAAAACCTCGTTTAGCCAAATACAACGATCTGAACATAAACAACAACTCGTCCTCTAGTTATCTAGAATTTATGTGGTATTCCCATATTCAAGAACAAATGATTAATTATGTTGTTTACCGTTTGCCTGGCTCTTGATGAATTTAGAAGTTTACGCTCTATGTACAGTAAATTTCGCCACAAGTGTGGCCATAGAGCGCAAACTTCTAAATTTCTCAAGAACCTGGCAAACATAAGGTAAACAACCTTTCTCTTTTGATGGCTCATCTACAGACCAAGACCTTTCTTTAGACACCTCTACCGAGTTTCTACGCCCAGCCGTTCTCTCAATTTAGCTATGACAAAGAAAAACAGTTTCAAATCAATATATAGATACTTGTTGCATATAAATAGCGTTAACAGCTGTAGTAGGTATACAATAAAAAAGGCGAACACATTTTTGAGGAGTAATTTACAAAAGTAACAAACGCTCGAAGTTTAAATGTTTTTTTTTTTTTTTTGCTTAAAATGGTGCTATTAAATGAAAAAAAATTCATCATACGGGCTTGCATGCCTTCTCCCCCATCTACCGATCTAGATTTTGTTGGGTCAATAATAGTCACTTTAGGACATATAAATCATTTGTAGAAAAACAAATGTTAATGCAGATCTCTTTTTTTCATGCATGTTTCAATACAATTAATTTTGAATGTTAGCTCAGCTATCAGTGCAGATATATTGTTCTTCTACCGGTATTCTATGTTTATATTTATTTTTGAAATATTTATTGAATTATTTAGTGCATGTTAATATTTATCTATTTATTAATTTTCCTAGTTATTAGTAAAACTAATTTACCAACCTTTGTTTTTTCATGTACTTGTATTTTGGAAATGTATTTATTTTATCTACCCCTTGAGGGAAAAATTCATAAAAGAATGATGATGATGATGATCATGATGATGATGAATAATTTGTACAATTGAATTCAAATTGCTAAGAAATATCTCAAAACAGTGTTTAAGTGGTACTAGTTTGACTCCTGTTTACGCTGTATTAAAATATTAATATTGAAATCTAAATTTTCAAAGCTGAATATTATCTGAATAGGGTTGACACGTTATTCATATACTGTATAATGCTATTGCCAACGTTGTTTAATTACTTATTGCCAGTGATGAAAAATATAGTCTTGCTAATTAAGTGTAAGTTGGTATCCGAACTGGAGACAGTTGCCTCGTCAGAAAAAACATAATTTTGTTTTTATTATCTTTATGGTTTATAATATTATTCGCATTTAAATTTTTAAGTTTATAAACGAGTTAATATTTGTTGAGTTAAGTTTGTTAATATTGTTTATCCCTTGCATTCAAATTACATGACATCTATATAAGAGAACGAGCTTATGGAATAATAGTACATGGCATTTGACGATCACCTGTTCGACAGAATTACAGGGTTACACAAAGGATTTTAAATGCTACTAGCTGTTGTACCCATGCTTCGCAACGGAGAGGACACTGAAGCGAAAAAAAATGATCTTCAATTCTGTATTCTGTTGTATAAAATAGTTACCCATTCCCCTTTGGTTTCAGAAACATAACTCAATTGAAACTCTTAGTTTGAAAAAACTATCTTTCTTTAAGGCTAGGCTAACTTATAAGGCTACTTAGTACCAATTATATGAGACGCTGATGCATTTATGGAAATAATGTACCCACACGATTAAATTATCAAATGATAAGTAAATAAGGAAAAATAATCGCACAACATAAAGCACTGTAGTAAAGCAAAAAAAAAAAAAAAAAGTTTATATTGATTTCACTTAAAATTAATGTATTTTACCGTTAGTAGCTAATGAGCTTTTTTCCAAGTTCAATCTTTACCTGCAGATCAAAAGTGTGTATATATCACTAATAAGCAAAAATAAACTAATGGAATGCGTGTATTACCTTTTGTTAGAAAGCCAACCAATATTATTGTTAATCAGGGCACAAATTTCATCAATTTAAATGTAAATCAACAACATAATACATAACAGTTATTATTTTATCTCATTCCATAGTTCAAAACGTGTATGTATTTGTATTAATTTAAATCATTATTTAAAACATTGAGTAAAGAAACATAGTTACATTACAGATATTTAATAGATTTTAGAAACAAAAGTGAATTGCGTGCAGCTTAGTTTTGTGATATTCTCCATAGTCAAATTAAAGCAGATAAAAAAACCGAATGTGAAGTAGATGATATAAGAAAATAAGTAGTAGCTACCTCTGGACAGAATAAAAGTAGGTGTAATTGAAATTTAGTTTGTAAATTGAATTAAAACACAAATAAAAGTGTAAACATTGAGTCAGTTAAATTTTTAAAGCTGTACCAGTATCTCTTAGTTTTTAAAACCTATTAAAATCCTGATCCAGAAATTTTTTATCAGTTCAAATTTGTAAACAAAAAGCTACCATATCAAAAAGAATATACATTGTGATGATCCTTCTGTTTCCATGAAAATAAGTATATTTTCATAAATAATTTAATCAAACTATTCTCATAATCATAAAACCTTAGAATCTTGGGAGCAGAACCTGTACCTCTTAACCTGCTGTTTGAACTGTCAAATTATAGTATTTACAGCTGACTTCAATTAATACTTTTTACTATTTACATTCTTCCAAAATGTAAACATTGAAACTTTGGAAGCCCATGGCGTAGCCCAAGGGAAATACAATAACAGGAATAGGCCTGTCATTATATTTCCCTTGGGCTACGCCATGGGCTTCCAAAGTTTCAATGTTTACATTTTGGAAGAATGTAAATAGTAAAAAGTATTAATTATATGTTAACCAGGTATATAAGCTACCTTCATACAACATTTTATTTCAATCGGTTCAGTGGTTCTAGCGTTATTAAGTAACAGACAGACACACACACACACACAAACACACACACCATCTCATTTTAGCGAATTTCCCACATAGGGAATAAGCTATTACCGTAGTACTCATGGTAAGACCTGGACCCGGGACCGATTTTTTTTCGTTTTGAGGTCCCTAGAGGCCAAAAATAGCATCCGTTCAAATTCATATATATATATATATATATATATATATATATATATATATATATATATGTCCGTTAGCGCGATAACTCGAGCAAAAATGATCCGATTTTGATGAAATTTGGTACAAACGTGTAAACCTACGTTTATTCGAACGAGTTCGCGAACCAGCATGATCGGACCATGGGAACGGGGGTTTTTTTGGGGGCTTTTATGGGGTAAAAATGGGTTTTTCCCATTTTTGACCCAAAAAACTTAAATTTTTGCAATTTCTTTCCAAACTATTTTGTAGAGCTTAAAAAAAAATAATTTAGTATATTGAAGCGTTATAATGCGCCTAATGGTTACGGAGAAAATTCAAAAAAAAATTTTAATTTAAAATTCCCATGTTATTCTTATGGAGGATAAGTAAACTGTTGTAGTTTGCTTATTTATCAACATATTTTGCCCAAATTTGGAAAATGTTTTTATTTTCTTACTAACCATTAACATTTTACATAAAAAAACACTTTAACCCTCCCTGTTGCAGCAAACCTAAGTATGTGTTAAACTGATTCGATTTAAATAGGGAATAAATGTGATATTTTTAAGGAGAAATTTTAGTGTAAATCCAATCAGGCAAATGGAAATTTGCTTAGTCTGCTGGTTTGCTGCGGCGGGGTTATTTATATATTAGTATAGATTGTACGGTTAAAAACTTGTTTCATGCTACCAATTTTCTTAAAAAAATTTCTAGTTTTATAAATTTTTAGGTACATTTTGTTTATCCAATATTTAAACTAAAATAATTAATTAAGGTAAGTAAATACTTCTTGCCGAACACCATGTAGAATGGAAAATGAGCTAATTAGAGTCTAGGATAAACCAAGTTTATCATCAACTGCAATTTACAGTAATTGGACTTTGAATGTGTTGAGTCGGTGGAGTTAATGTTCAAGTTGCCCTACAATGCTACAATTCAGCAAACCCCCGCGGATGATTCTCTCAGATGCAAGACCTAATACATTTCAAACATTATAAAATATAGTAGATACTACTATGTCTTTAGACGTAGTAGTAGCTACAGTATTTATATTACAAGTGTAGTAAGAGCGTTGTTACATCACGCAAAAACGCATTGTTAAAAACGCTCTTACTACATTTGTAAGGTAAATAGCTATTAATATTTTTTTACTTAGTAAAGTTTTAATGAGTACAAGAACCAGCATGATCGGACCAGGGGAACGGGGGGGGGGGGGGGGGGTCTTGTGGGGTAAAAATTTGTTTTTCTCATTTTTGACCATTAAAACAAAAAAATCTCAATTTCTCTCCTAACCTTTTTAAGAGCTTAAAAAACAAATAATGTAATATATCAACGAGTTTTTGTGGAGTTTTTGGTAACGTTGAAATAAAAAAAAAATTAATTCCAATGCATGTAATTCTTATGGATAACATTGTAAAATGTTTTAGTTTGCTTGTTTATGGATATTTTTTAATCAAACTTGGCAAATTTATTTATTTTATACTAAGCTATACATATTTTACTAAAAAACACACTTTTTTGTTTCCCTGTAGCAGCAAACCTAGGTAC